GTAGGTTAGTGGCGTTTCGGCTCCGTAGGCGAATAAGTAGTGCATTCATTCAACAATCAAAGCAATGTTGTAGATCACCGCTGTCAGTCACACCTCGAGGTAGAAGCGTTAGAGAAACCGCGACTGCGCAGTCACTCTGCGATTTTAGCTCCTAAAGTTTAAATTCGATGTCCTGCTTTGTTAGTAGTGAAGGATTACGAAGATGGAGGAGTGGAAAAGGAGCATCGGTACTCTCAGCGACGAAATCCTAATTAAGCTGGCAAAGATGTTGGACAACTCCACCTGTGGATGGAGGCAGCTAGCTAACGCGGTGTCCGAGCAGCCGAAATTCCGCTGCAGGTGAGACCTTGAAGGCATCACGTGAAGGTGGTAGCTTTACGCTTTACTCACAGTTTCTAAAACTTAAGCTGTGTCTTTACTGTATGGTGTGTTGTTATGGGGGGTTATGGATCCCCCTCAAGACTGACTATGTCATCATCTGCTAACATCACACACTGCCCTGTCTCCTGCAGTGAGCGGGAGCTGACCAGCTGTTCTCTCCAGGTGCTGACTGCTGCAGGCAGCCCGGCACGCACCCTGCTGGCATTACTGGCTGAGCGTTCCTGCTCCCTGGACTTCCTGCTCCACTGCCTGAGGAAGATGGAGCACCAGGAAGCTGTGCAGTTCCTCACCACTGCAGGTAAAGGAGAAGTCACCGGGCTGTTATATATGCAAAGTCTGTTTCTTACTGCTACTGTTACCTACTGTTTCCTTATAAACAGGAGGAAGACATAGTCCTGTTTAGACCATGTAACTGTAAAACACACATTCACGAGCCGCTTTATTAGGTACACCTCACTAGTACTTCCTTTTGCCTTCAGAACTACCTTAATTCTAATGACTGTGACTGTCATCTCAATCATGTGACTGTGGAGGCCATTTGACTACAGTAAACTAACTGACCCTCATTTACTAACAGGGCATACACACAAATCTGTGCATAAATGAATACTGAAATACTACTATTGCGAATAATAAGGCTAACCCTGATAATTACAGACAGTTTTCCAGAACCCCATAAGCCACAAAATCCCCCAAAATACATCAACATTTAAAAATAAAATTACTTGTAAAGAAAACAGAATGCTTAATGGTTAAGTATAGGCTTTAACCTTTACATTTAAACACATTTAAATGTAAAAGATACATTCCAGTATCTCTTATCTCATCCTATCTTTAATTAAACATGACTTCTGGCTATATATTCGTCACTTACAGTCCAGTTTCATAGAGTAAGTTATCTGCGGCTGATAGATCACA